TGCAGGTTTTCTATCATTTTTGCGCTGGAGTTGGAGTTTCAATTTTTGTCTAACACAACAATAAATATGTTATAGGAGCTCACAGTGGGGACATTTTTACAGGTGTCTTTTTGTTCAGTTGGGTGTGTTAGTGGTGCAGAGGTTAGAAAAGGTGGACATGTGATTGAAAGGTTGCCAGTTTGATTCCCCGGACAGACAGCATCAACATTTGAGTGTTAAAGGTAAAAACCCCACATCTGCCTCCACCCTCATTTGTCCCACTCTGGGCCCTTGAGTAAGGCCCTTAACCCCCACCATTTGCTACCCCGGATGCCCTAGATAGCATCTCTCAGCTCTGCACAGAGGGCTGTGCTAGCTTGGTGGTCAGTGGTTGAGTCAGGAAGAGCATCCAGCGCTAAAACAAATGCCAAGTCTTTGTGCGAGTTAGTTCACTGTGGTGACCCCTGAGGATGGGAGCAGCTGAAACAAGAAGAGTGTGTTAGCTGCTACTTTATTTTCTTTCTCCTTTGTCATTAATGGGCTGATTCATCCATTTTGGATCATGTCCTCACATTGAGCAAGCAGGTTGTCAATCTGCACACTTTCAACTTGCTTTCTTGTAAATCCACAGTTATCTTTAACAAGCAATACGTCAAGATGCTTTTTAGCATGTGCCAGATTGCCCGAAGGAACGAGGATTCATCTCCATTCAGAGGAAACTTCATGTGACGTGTGTCTGTACACAATATCTGCCTCACTCCTCATCAGACAGTATTAACTCCTCCATGTGCACACTTTGCCCAGGTCTGAATCTTGCCTTGTGCTCTCTATTCCTCCATCCTCCAGAGAAGTCATCCCTCGGTGTCCTGCAGAAAATGGCCCCATCTGTCTCCTCAATGTCAGCTCGGTTTAGTTCAGTTCGTCTTTATTAATCCTTATGGAGATGAAGGATTTGAGGGGGAACAATGTTCTTCAAACAGAGATCAGCCAACAGGCATTGCACATGGAGTGAGGGATAAAATGAGAGAGAAGACAGATGAAGTGTGTTGGTGTGCAGAGCTCGACTGCCTAAACTAAACCCTGTAGGGGTCTAGTTTCTCAAGGGCAAAACATGGTTTTGCCCTTGAGAAAGATGCTTGAATAGTGAAAGCGTACACTGAGGGATATGAATGACCTACTGCTTGATTGTTCTCCCATCAAAGCAGTGTTGTTCATGTTATACATCTGCTCTCAGGCGTATAAACCATATTTTGTAGTCCAGCTACTGAATAAAAGTGATCCCTACAGTTGTTGTAATCCTGCAGCTCTTTGTCATCACTATGAAGTCACTTTTGGTCAAAATAAATAGGTTAAATCTACTCTGGTTCAAATTAAATTCAAATCAGTTTATTTATAGAGCAGCAAGTCACAACAGAAGTCATCTCAGGGCACTGTACAGAAACATTCATATACATAAAAATTCAATTGTTAACATTATTTATCTAAGGTAGGGTAACCAGCAGGTTGTGCTGAGTCTGTTTTGTTGCAGTCTTCCATCCTGAGCAACAGTGGAAAGGAAAAACTCTGTTTTAACAGGAAGAAACCTCCAGCAGAACCAGGCTCAGGACGAGCAGTCGTCTGCTTCAATTTGATATCAGTTTAATTTGACTAAAATATGATGTAGTTGTGTTCAATTTTTTATGTTTTCTACATCCTTCCATCCATCCATCCATCCATCCATCTATCCAGCCAGCCATTATCTTTACCCGCTTCTTCCTTTTTGGGTCACGGGGGTCAAAGGTGACCATATCCAGCAGTCACTGTGCAGAAGGCAGGGGACACCCTGGACAGGTCTCCAGTCCATCACAGGGACACATAAAGACAAACGAGACAAACAACCTTTCACTCGCTCACTCACGTCTATGGACAATTTAGAGTTACCAATCAGTCTAACATGCATGTTTATGGTCTGTGGGAGGAAACTGGAGTACCTGGAGAAAACCCACGCATGCACGGAGAGAACATGCAAACTCCACCCAGAAAGGTCCCCGGACGGGATATGAACTGGCGACCTTCTTTCTGAGAGGCAACAGCCACTCCAACTGAGCCATATTTTGTTTTATCTTTTACATATTAATGACATAATAAAATATTTATTCTGACATTTATAATTCAGTGTTGTCACTGTAGCAAATGGTTGTAAAATACTGTAAAAAAAAAAATTAATAGCTTTTTTGTTCTCCCTGAAAATGCACATTACATCTCCTGAAATATGTTCATGTTAATAGTTAGAAAAAATGAAACACACTTCATTAAACATCCGCATCACTAAAGCTTTTAGTTGTTGTTTAAGGCCATGAAAGGCTAACCATGTGTGTTTGTTTATGAATGTAACTTTCAGAAAGTAATCATTGGACGTACACCAACCACTGATTAACTCTGGAACAGCTAATAGACCTTGGAAAACACAAAAAAAGTCAGTTTTACAGATATTCTCCTAAAATGTGGCATCTGTAATGGACGCTCTCATCACTAACAGACTGTCTAAGATTTTTGTTTAAAACTTTAGCATTGATGGTTGGAGTCAGCTTTGTTTGTTAGCTAAATATCTTATGAGCTAGTGAATGAACATTACTGAAACCGTTAGAAAGAAATCATTGGAAGTACATCTGTGACTGATTTTGGAGTCAGCCTAATTCAAGATGGCCACCGCAGCCTAATGACATTTGGTAGTAGCAGAATGTCATCCCCTTCAAATACTTTGAGCACATTTCTTGGACTTTTTCATATACGATGGTAAACAAAATGCATTACTTCTAGAAATGCTAGTTTTGTTTTTTGTTTTTTATTACGTGAATATTAGTTAAACTTGAGTGGTGGAGCAGAGGTTAGAGAAGGTGGCCCTGTGATTGGAAGATCGCTGATTCAACTCCCAGTACAGACATCATCAAAATGTGGGTGGGATAAGTGAAACACACCTGCCTCCACCCTCATTTGCCCCACTCTGGGCCCTTGAGCAAGGCTCTCAACCTCCACCATCTGCTCCCCCGGGCACCCTAGCTAGCAGCTCTTTGCTCCACACGGAGGGGTGTGGTAGCTCGGTGGTCTGTGGTTGCATCACGAAGGGTATCCAGTGCAAAAATAATTGCCACGTCTTTGTGCGACAGTTTGCTCTGGTGATTCCTGAAGAAGGGAGAAGCCGATTTTTTTTTTTTTTTTTTACTTAAACTTCATATGAATATATTTTTCTACACAAACCATGGCTAACATTTAGCTTCCCTAGTATTAGCCACAGTCATGATGCGGTGATGTTTGTGCTCCTCACTGCCATCATGTGTGCTATCTCCTGCGTGTTTATTTCCATGTGCAGAGCCTCAGTCCTCACAGAAGTTGTAAATCTTCTGTGAGGACTGAGGCTTGACTCTGAGGGATGACATTTTCACAAACTGAACAGATGCAAAATGACTGCTCGAGAACTATCTATCCTTGTCTTTGCTGCTGTCATCATCTGTGCTACTTTACACTCTTTGTATGTCAAAATAATCGCAGACGGTCAGGATGCCTGTCAGCCCTCCGCCACAGCCAGCTGCATCGTCCTCGAGTTGAATCCAACCACTCTCTCTGCTCAGTGCAAGCTCTTGGGAATATTAAAGTGAAGGGTGGATTTGTGATTTGTGGTGGAGCTCATCCTTTGTCTCCAGACCACTGCTGTAACTGGCTCTCAGACGATGTGCTAATCTACTTCACCATCTGGTCTGTACTCGCTTTTGTTGCACGGAGGTCGCTCTTTGTGGCTCGTGTTAACAATATTACATAATTCACATTTTTAACTTACACTTCCATCCAGTTCTGAAGACACAACTATAGAATTGCAACTTGTTCAACAAAAAAGCTAAACGTTTCAAGGTCTAAGCTCCTCAGTAAGAAAATCCAAAGTGGTTGGAAGTTGCTTTGTCAACTGACGTAAAGCCACAGTAAATCAGAAGTTTTAAAAATATATTTTTAAAACTGTATTTTTGTTCATGAGTGAGGGAAGAATGGAGCGTGAGATTGAAAGAAGGATTGGTGCAGTGTCTACAGTATTGCAGACTCTGTGCCGGTCCATTGTGGTGAAGAGAGAGCTGAGCTGTAAGGCAAAAGCTCTCTGTTTACTGGTCAGTCTACGTTCCTACTCTCACCTATGGTCACAAGCTCTGGGTAGAGACTGAAAGAATGAGATTGTGGATACAGGCGTTGAAATGAGTTTCCTCCGCAGGGTAGCTGGACTCTCCCTTAGAGATAGGATGAGAAGTTCAGTTATCAGGAGAGACTCTGAGTAGAACCATTGCTCCTCCACGTCGAGAGAAGCCAGTTGAGGTGGTTCGGACATCTGATAAAGATGATCCCTGGGCTCCTCTCTAGGGAGGTGCTTCAGGCATGTCCAACTGGGAGGAGGAGACCCCAGGAAACGCTGGAGAGACTGTGTCTCTCCGTTGGCCTGGAAATTTCTTGGAATCCTCCCAGAAGAGCTTGAAGAGGTGGCTGTGGAAGGAGACGTCTGGACCTCCCTGCTCAAGCTGCTGCCCCGAGACCTGACTTTGGAACAAGCAAAAGATGATGGATGGATGGATGGATACAAATATATAATTTTGTTTGTTTGACATAAGACATTGCAATGCACAGTGTCTCAGGTATAATGAGTAGAAATATACTTTTTGAATTGTTCTTGTCCAGTTTGAGTATTTTAGTCTCTATGCCACGACGAGTCTTTATGATGTTGTACTTTTATTGGAAATACCAGAGATGTTGCACAAACACAAGTGTTATTTACTGTGCAGTCTGCCACACTGAAATATCTTGTTTTAATGGAGAGCACCCAGTCCATCTCACATTTTCGTTTTGTCTACAGCAAAGAAAGCAGGGGGTTCTGTGGAGGATTGATCCAGAAAGTGCAGTGTTTCTTATTTAAATCATTTATGCATCAATGTAGATGACTATTTTGGTTATTGATAGACCCATTATCGCTTGTGTGCCAGACTTAAATGTATTTTACACATTCTGAATTCTTAATCTGAAATATATAAACTTCTAAACGACAAACCAAATAAGTAAAGCAAACCTTTACCTGTCTTCTTCTTATGTGATTTATTTTTTTTTTTTCTACAGATACGAAGGCAAGGTGGAATCCAGCTGCTGGTGGACCTGTTGGACCACCGAATGACAGATGTGCACCGCAGTGCCTGCGGAGCCCTGAGGAACCTGGTATACGGCAAAGCAAATGACGACAACAAGATCGCCCTGAAGAACTGCGGAGGTATCCCCGCTCTGGTCCGGCTGCTCAGGAAAACTACAGATGTGGAGATCCGAGAGCTGCTCACAGGTAAAACGTGAAGTTGTGTCATCCGTTTGTTTACGTCTTCAATATATGATGAGCCTTGGATGTAAACAACAACATGTTAAGGAATTACCAGTTGTAGCTTTGAAAGTATTTTTTTACAGTATACATGCATATCATCCTAATCAGCCACAGTAAAAGTGCTCACCTCCCGAGGGATATGGAGAGAAAGTGCTAAAAAGGGAGCGGCACTCCATTTTGAAATTGATCTACACCTAGAAAACCCTGAGGGACGGAGGTGGATGAGTGAGAATGGTAATTCCAGTTCAGAAACCAAATGAGGAAAACTATATTTATTTTAGCTGCAGCAGCATTTATGGAAACATCTCATCTAAGGGCCCATAAAGATGATATCTGTCATGCTGGTTCTGAGAGCAGCTGTCAGTTTGAAAGAAGACCTATTTTTCAAATCTGAACCAGGTGGACCACACTAAAACACTAAACTTAGTCCTGTCAAGATGCGGACTAAAGCATAAGAATTATCAGAAAATACTGTGTATATTTTCAATATTTTTGATTACAGTTGTAAAAAACAACAAATTCACCTGCAAGTTAGAGAATCGGCTTCTCATCAATAACGACATCCCCAAATTTTATTTCATTAACTCTATGAATTTCAATACTGTCAATTTTAAACGAGACTTCGATCATTTTATTTTCATTACTAGATGTCATCTAGTTTATTTTTTCCAAATTTTATGATAACTTATTAAGTTGGAACCAAGTTTGTATTTTTACGAATCCGATCATCTCTAACAGCCGTTCAATACCTTCACCCGAACAAAAAAATGTATTATCATCTGCAAATAAAACACACTTCAAAAGCCCTGACACATCAACCAGATCATTCTCATACAAAATAAATAAATTTTGTCCCAACACAGAGCCCTGAGGAACTCCACATCCATTAACACAAAATTTGGATCTTACATCGTTTACCTGTACAAACTGTCTCCTATTATTCAAACAACTGGATACTCACTGTAGTGCTAATCCTCTAATCCCATATTTATTCAGTTTTTCAAGGAGAACGGTGTGGTCAATAGTGTCGAAGTCCTTTTATAAATCAACAGAACGCTAACACCACACTGTTTTTGATCAACAGCAGTTGTAATCTCTTTTATTAGTTCCACAAGAACCATTGATGTTGAATTATTTGCTCTAAACCCATATTGACTATTACTTAAAATATTACATTTATCTATAAATCGATCTAATCTGGTTACAAATAATTTCTCTAATATTTTTGAAAATTGTGGCAACAAGGATATTTGTCTGTAATTAGTGAACACACATTTCTCACCATTCTTATAAAGAGGAACTATCTTTGCTATTTTCATATTTTCTGGAAATGTTCCTGTTGAAAATTATAAATTACATATATATGTAAATGATTCAATAACATAACTTATTATATCCTTTACAAGCATCATGTCCATGTCCATCCAGTCTTTTGATCTTTTATCTGCAAGAGTTTTCACAATACTCAGTGTTTCATCTTTATCAGTGTCATAGAAAATACTGTTGGCACAACCCATGACTTTATGACTCACATCATTATTTACATTTGGTACTTTAGCTGCAAGACTTGGGCCAACATTCACATAATATTCATTTAATTCATTTACTATGCTTGTAGATTTTCTTGTCATCTTTTACAAAATACTGTGAAATACTTGATAGTACTTTATGATTTTTCAAAACACTATTCATTACTCCCTGTATTGCTTTCATATCACTCTTACTTTTGTTTAGTAAGTCACTACAATATCCCTTCTTGTGTTCTGTCAAATGTTCATACCTTTCTGTGTAATTCTTTTTTTAAATACCTAATTTTCTACAGCAAATACAGACTGCATACTTTAAACTGACCTTTAAACATAAGTCGAATATATTTCTCCATCAAAATCAAGTTTGATGTAAATAGATGTTCACTTAGTCTGTTTATAACATCAATAAATCACAAAACTGGTTTAATTTTAGATCTGGATTAGTTTTACTGAGCTTAGACAACAAAAAGTGGTGCAAATGTAAAGAAAACACTCAGAGTTCAAAGCTGTTGAAGTGGGACTACAGTATGTAGAAAAGTTATGAGCAATTAATATCTTACCTGTTGTAGACAGCCTTTTGAACAGCCACAGATTGGAGAATTTGTTTAATGTTAACCAGATTGATGAGCTACTAACTAATCTGAGCAGTTTTCCCAAATAAATATAGCAGCTTTTACAAATGCTATTTTTTTTTAAACCTTTGCATCATTGTTAGTCTATTATTCTTTGATTATGTATATGGAGTTGTAGGGTTAATGCAAGCACAAGCTAGATGTACCACTTCCAGCAGAAGTATTGTTATATTTCTGCTGAAGTAACCTTGAAATGTGGAACTGGGGATGGGGTCACACCAATCCACTGTGATCTTGGAAACCCTCCGGCAGTCTGATGGCTTAACATCCCTGTCATAGCTCCAAACTGAGGTCATTTAAAGAGCTATCCAACAGGTAAGATATTTATTTACATTTTTTTTAAATTTTTTTTTTACAAAATCCCACTCCAAAAAACCTTAAATATCAGCTTTCTGTATATTAAACAGTTAAAATGCCATGAGTTTGATAGAAATTTTAAACACAGGATCATGTCATCTCCAGCAAGCGGTTTCTGCGCCCCACATGTTGCCTTTAAAGTTGCATCATGTCCAGCTGCGCTTCACATCTCCTGCTGATGTGAAATTCTGCTTTGGGACAAACATTATCATCATCGTTCGCTCTAACAAAACATTGTTGAGTAATCCTAAGAGGAAAGTGAGAAATGTCCTCGTGACTCCCACATACAGCCACATTTTGTGCAGATTACGAACCATGTGTGTGTTTCGTTGTGCACGCTGATGTGTGTTGTGAGTCTGAAAACGGTTTGAATCCTGACAAAGATGCAAATAAAAAGGGCTTGATATGCTGTTAGAGTCTTAAGGAAGATTACCATATAAATTAGAGCAGCAATTCAAGGCACGCAGCACAGAAATCCCCTCTGTCACAAATTAATCAGCACAACGGCCGACCGGACTCAGACAGACTCCTCTGTTCTCTCTCGTTCAATGACCCGTAGGAAATAGACCCCGCCTTTCTCTCTTTCCAGTTTGTTTTTCATAACTGGTCACTCATTCTCATCTCGTCTCTCTTGTCCTCTATGCCTTTCACCACTTCCCTGTTTTCACTCATTTCTCTCGGTATATCTGCAGCCCTGTCTGGCAGCTTTTCTTTGTCTGCTGAGCATTTTGTATCAGAATCTCAGCGGGAAGTCGAACTACCTGCCTCGCTACAGCTACAGACCCAGCTGCACACAAAGACCTGCACCCATCACACACAAATGAGACGCAAACAATGTTTTTCTCTGCTGTTCAGTCTTTTCCCCTCTTTTTCCTTTGACTACTGACTCTTTTTCTTTCATGCTTACGACTAAAGATTATCTTTTGAAAGGAAAGCAAAAGTTATAAAACAGCAGATGCCCCCCCTCTAAATGCAATAAGTAAAAATGCAACATGAACGTTTTACTTCTGGGCTCTTCAATGCTCTGACCTGAGGTCTTAAAAAGTGACTAAGGAACAAAACACTTTGGTAAAACTCTTTTCTTGTTGAAGACTCTGTTGCAGGCGGCCCAACAGTGCAGTGGTTAGAGCTGCTGCTTCACAGCGAGAAGGTCACAGGTTCATTTCTGGATGGAGTTATATCATCTGTGCTCGCATGGGTTTTCTCCGGGTACTGAAGTTTCCACCCACAAACCAAAAACATGCATGTTAAATTAACTGGTAACTCTAGTGTCGTTAAATTGTGAATGGTTGTTTATCTTGTTTTTTCTGTATGCGTCCACTGTGATAAACGTTCGACCTGTCCCGCCTCTCGCACAGTGGCTGCTGGAGATAGGCACCAGCTCCCCTTAGCCCATAAAGGAGAAGTGCATGTAATGGATGAAGGACTTTGGTTAAAGGAATTACACTTTTTCTCAAGAAAACAAATGAAAAAGACCCATCTAGAAAAATACTATTACAGTATTTATTTGATCAACTTGGACTTTGTGGATATTTAAGGTTTACTGTAATTATTTTCCTTGTGACAGAGCCATGTAAGCACTAGTTGCATTTTTCCAAATCCCTAATTTGAAAAGTTTTCTATCTAAGGAAGGAAGCAGATTGCGTTGTCTTCATTTCGTCACAGTCTCCCACATAAATAAATCTTGTCCTGATCTGCTGCAGACTGAAACCTGACAAATTACAGGAAGTTGTGATTAGTGAAAAGTGCTGACAGGAAACATTATGAAAAACCATATTTTAATGATCGGGCAAAAATCTCGAGTTTATCATTGTCATGTTAATATGCATTCATCGTGTGATGCAAACAAACATAATCTTGTAATTCACTGTTAATAAAAGTTTTTGGATTTACAGCAATTGTAACAAACCTTACAGTTTCTGAGTCTTTTTCTTTTTTTAAGAAGGATGGTCTTTATTTTAGAAAGTGAGTTGAAGTTAGATCCATTTAACTCGAAGTTTGAAGGTGTTTAAGGAAAAGGAGAAGCAAAAGTGAAGAAAGAGGACTGATGACATCAGCCCTCTCACACAGCGGCTTCTCTTTTAACTTCTTTATTCTCTTTTAAACTCTGCGCACTGCCATTCACTGTGGTTTTCACTTGTCATTACAGTACAAGGTTTTTATTCCCTCGCAGTGGCACAAATCATTGTCAGCAGTCATGTCTGGACTTCTTAAACTGATTTGAGTTCTTCAGGAAAAGATGTGGATGCTGTGAGACTCAAAGTGTGACAGGAACTCTCTGCAGTCAGGGTCCAATCCTGCCACAAGGCCCATCAGATTCAGGCAAAACAAAGGAAACAATGATGGCTTTTAAGAAGAAAAATGGAAAAATTCTACATACCATAATTTCCAAACTATTGAGCGCACCTGAATATAAGCCATGCCCACTAAATTTAAGAAAGAAAAA